CATTTTGGTAACTTAATGAAGGGAGGCTCTCCATTTTGCAGAGCAGGGATAGGATGACAGGTTATTATTCTTTGCAAATAATTTGACGTTCATCATAAAAATTTTATAATTTATCAATTCAAATATTCAATTAAGTAACAAAGAATTTTCAGGAATATATAGAAAAAAAATCTGAAGTAGTTTAGATTTTTTAAATATGTTTATTACATACATTTAAGGCTACCTTCAAAGTATGGCAAACACAGTATAATGTTACATGTAATATTGTTGAAAACAATTTCTGTTGAAAGTAGTACTCTCACATATATTTGCTTATTTTTGTTGTGGATCAGTCTTAAGAAAACATTTGTGTTTTGGATCAGTCTTAAGACAACATTCGTGTGGTGGATGAGTCTTAAGACAACATTCGTGTGATGGATCAGCCTTAAGACAACATTTTGCTGATGCAATCCAATGTTTCTGCTTTGAATATCTTTTTAACAATTTACTGGTTCGCTTATTCTGGAAGAAAATAATAACTTCATCAGTTTCATATTTAAGGTTAAAGTCTTTCTATATTGCTAAGAAATATTAATATTAATTTATTCAAATTGATATTTGGATATTCTCAGAGTTAAGAAAGAGAAAATAAAATTTAGATCAAATCACCTCGCTATAACTAATATGCAGGCGACAGATTTCTGTAATATTCAACAAATAAATAAAAAAATCTGGTGCACGCAACACACAACTTTCACTTACAGCTCAACTTTGAATATAAATTACTTTCTGGCAATGCTGGGCTATTATAAAATTTTTTGAAGTGTATTTTAAACGGAGCTAAAGCTTAAATCTTACAGAAAACAAGTCATTAAGACCATTATAATTACAAAATGTCTATTTAATATATCGATGGTAGGCAATAAAAAATTAGTCACTCCATCTGCTTTTCTAAACCACACAACTTTCTTTGCTTTTATAAACCACTTTAATTTCCAAATTTTTGAGTAATGTCATTTTAGTGATATTTTCAGTTGAAAAAGTTTTCAATACAGACAGTGTGTAAGTTGATTCTAGAGGTGGTGATTGTAGTGTTGAAATATAGAACGGTGAATAAAAGTTCGATTCAACTCAGAAACTACAAACTTGCACAATAGATAGAAATGTGGACAGAAAATGGACAGAAATGAAAAAAGCTATTTTGGAGACAGCGGAAACCATACATGGAACTGCAGCGATCTTCGCAAAATCAAAAAGAACAAAGTGGTGGAGTGAAATAGTTAAAGCTGCAATTGCAAGGAAAAAGCTGGCATGGAAAGCATACTGTAAGACCAAAAGCGCAGCGGACTGAGAACTCTATACCAGGAGAAGGAATGAAGCCAAAAAAGTAGTTAGAGTGGCAAAGAAGAAAAGTTGGGGGGAATTTGGTCAGAGTCTCCAAAATAATTATAACGATGACATAAAAACCTTTTGGAAAGCTATCAAGGCATTGAAAGGAACGACAAATAAGCCCATAAGGAATATAAAGGACGAAGGAGGACTACTGTTAACTAGAGATAAAGAAATCTTGAAGAGATGGAATCGCCATTATGCTGAAGTGTTTTCCAATGATTGCGTGCAAACAGCTGTGAATAGGTTATTAAGAAGAAGAAGATTACGATGATATGATATGGGAAGAGGATGTGGAAAGGGCTATAGAAAAGCTGAAGACCGGAAAAGCAGCAGGGAGGGATGGCATTGCTCCAGAGCTAATTAAGTTTGGAGGACCAGAACTGACGAAGCACCTGCAGGACCTCTTCCAAGCAGCTTTTTCTAAAAAAAAAACTGTGCCGAAGGAGTGGGAGTATAATATTCTTATTCCTATACACAAGAAAAGAAGCTCGAGTGACTGTGACAATTACAGATCCATATGTTTCTGCCAAGTGTTTTACAAGCTCTACACATCCATCCTTCAACGAACGTTGAGAGAAATTGTAGAAGGAAAGGCAGGCAGCATTCAGACCGCACCGTCAGACCCAGGACCACGTATTCTCCCTGAGGACAGTCGAGGGAAGAGCATGTTTTTAGCTTTTCTTGATATCAAGGCGGCATTTGATTCGGTCCCTAGGCAAGAAATATGGGCTGCTCTAGACGCAAAAAATGTACCCAATGCACTAATAGAATCTATGAAATCCACGTATCGCAGCACAAATGGCGTAATAAGAACAAATGGGAAAGAATCAGAACCTTTTGAAATGAAAAAAGGAGACAGCCTCAGCCCTCTAATATCCATCATATATATGGATGAAATTCTAAAAATATGCAAGAGTAGAACAGCACGGACTATTGTTGGGAAGTGGAATATGAGGACAATCCTTATACAGGCTATGGTTTTTGCAGATGACATTGTTCTCATAACAGATTAAAAAAAAATCTGCAGCAAGCAATCATAGCGTGGGAAGCTGAGCTGGATAGAATGATGATTAGAATGATGATCAGATCGATCAGAATGATGTTCAATACAAATAAGTGCAAGGTAATGTGTATAGGACGAAATGAAGAAAATGTGGAGATCCGATGCAGAGGAGAAATCCTGAGAGATGACTGAGGAATATACCTACCTAGGTACAGTTATCAGCAGGAATGGAAAGATTAATGGGGAGGTTTCCAACTGGATCAAAATGGCAAATAATGTTTATCGATGGAAAAAAAAAATATTCATTCATTCATTCTGCTATGTATTCTAAAGACCGCCTGTGGAATTTATTTAATGATTTCAAAGGAATAAATAAATCTAAATCATAAGTGCTAACACCTGGGCGTTTGTTTACCTGGGGGAGAGTTACGACCCACTATTGAGTGCAACCTTTTGTAAGGAGCGATAAAACACTTAAGAACCCCAAAGGACCGACACCGGGGCAAAGAAACACTTAAGGACAGGTACCAGTCTTAACGTGGGAAGGTTCAAAAAGGATTGAAGGGAACATTAACACCGTTGAGAAAGAGGAAACGGAGGAAGATATACCTGCCAGGGTACGGCCTGGGGGCGTGGTCATCCCTTATGCTAGGAAAATTCAGCCAATCAGAGGAAACTACAAAAAGAGAGGGGGATGAAAGAAACTTTGGAAAGAGGGGACTTGGGGAAGAGAGGGTGAGAGGGCAAGATCGCCTAGGAGCCAGGAGAAAAGAGACAGCTCCGGCGATACCTTTCACCATGAGGAAACCGCCAAGTAGAAACATTCATTTAGCTATACAGATGTAAACTTGTGTTGACAATTATTAATCAATAATAGAATCAATAGATCATTATTAACTTCAAGCATTACTATCCATAGCATTCTCCTCTAATATGATTCTCTACTACTCATTGTATATATATGTTCTGGTTTGGTGTAAGTATATAAATATATTAGTTATTATACCACCTTAGTAATTTTACAATCTACCTTGCATGCCACCAATTAGTTATAGAAACAAATAGTAATTTTTTAAACATGATACCTTTCAAAAAGAAATTCAATAAGAAGTATATTAATCAATCAACGATACTACAGTAGGTGGTCTGTGGTATCTAACCTTTAAATACAGAATACATATAGTTTTCAGTTGATCGGTTCCCTTCTGGAACCGATATAAATATTAAATGCATTAAATGTCCTTCCTTTCCGATCGATCCCAGTATGTAGTCCTCCCAGATCAACCTTCTTCAAAGACACATCCCTACTCCTGTGGTGTTCCTCAGGGTTCCTCCTTGTCTCCTACTCTGTTTGCTATTTACATTAATGACCTTCCCCTCCTGATCCATCACTCCTAATGCCACATCTATGCTGACGATTTCCAAATATACCTGTCCTTCCCCCCTTCTGACATATTAGCCTCCACAAGAAGGATTCAAGAAGATTTAAATAGAATATATGACTGGGCAGGAGCTAACAAGCTGAAGTTGAATGTGGAAAAGAACAAGGCAATCCTAATAGGCTCCAATCACCTCCTCAAAACTGTTCCTAACTTTCCAACCCTGTTCCTACATGATAATCCCATCATCGAAAACCTTGGAATAATCTTCGATCAAACCCTTTCATGGAAAAACCATGTGCCCATTATTTCCCGACGTACCTTTTCCTGCCTAAAACACTTAAATAGCCTGCGACACCTTTTTCCTTTTGAAATCCGTAGACTCCTGGTCACCTCTTTAATATTTTCCCATTTCGACTATTGCTGCACGGTATATGGAGGCGTCTCTGGAGATCTCGAGGCTAAACTAAAACGTTTGATAAATTTCTTTGTACGATTCATCTTCGGGATCCCAAGAGACACCCCTGTTTCCTGTTTCTATGAAGAGTTGAAGTGGCTTTATGCTTCCTACCGACGTAAGTATTTCCTGGCATCCTTCCTCTTCCAAGTAATTCACTCCCGCCGTCCTTCATACATCACCGAGCTCCTTCAATTTAAATCCTCTGTCCGCTCCTGCAATACCCGTTCCCGGTCCTCAGACTTATATATAATGGCCCACCGAACCGCTGCTTTCGATAAATCGTTTATTATTCGATCCTCTTCCCTATGGAACTCCATCCCTCCCCACATACGTCAATCCAAAACCCTTCCTACCTTTAAATCCCAACTGTTTAATCATTACTTATCCATCCAGTCATCATAAAATTGCAAATAGTTACTACTGTAGATATGTATATAAATTTTTAGATCGTTCTTTTTTTTTTTTTTACTTCATGTTTATTTTCATTTTTTTAGTTTTATTATTAAATGATGTAAATTAGAAAGTAACTAATAATTTCTCTTATTATTTTTTTTTTCATTTACATATTTTTTTTTACTATTTAATTAAACTATATTCTTCTTTATGTATCTCTGAGGCTCCTTAGCCCACATTCTTGTCTCTTTGTATTATTCTAAAGGGACTCGTCCCAGAATAAATAAAGCATTATTACTATATTATTATTAAATAGAAATAAATGCGGTTCCCGGAACCCCATTCTCGCCGTAGAAACGCGAAGGCCAGGTACATAGCAATTCATAGGATTGTCTCAAGCCCAGTGAGCCGCTATTATTTGGCGCCCTATAGTATTACATTTAGTTCTAGTCTCCCTCGGATCGAGTCCGTTTTGTTATGAGAAAATTTTCTCATTTACAAACTTCCAAATTTTTCACGATCTCAATGCATTCACTTTCTACATATTTCCCATACAGGTAAGAAAAAGTAAAAAGAAAAACTTACCTGAGTGTTTGGTCATAAAGATTGGTACAACATTTAGATAGACAGCAATACGATTTTCCGTAGCAACATTTAGCTCGACACTGAACCTTTCTCCCTTCTAAAAAAAATGAAAAAATTGCTTGAACGTTTGAATTGAAAAATGTTTGAAAAAATAGCATTGTTAATAATTTGAAAAATTAAAGTATAATGACATACCTTCGGGATAGTCGCCTTGAAGATTTGTAAGAATACTTAAATTTTGTAAAACTTCATCATCATCAATGGCACGAGCGTTAGCCGAGGAATAGAGCGAGGTGAAGATCCCGCACAGCAACACTCCAGCTAGCATCCTAACGCTTCTCCGATCATTTTCTGAGTGGTTTATTATAAATCATCTTATCAGTAAGGATTAGAGTTAATCTGGTCAGTTGAGATGCAATAATAATAAAATGGCAAATCTAAACCTCCATGAAGGATATTTCCATCATATAATAGCACTAATCCAAAGGTTTTCCTCAATTTAAAATTTGAATCCAAACAAGACTATTTGATACATATTATAAATATATGACCGAGTGGAACTTTTTAATTTATTTTGTTAATTTGATTTGTTATTGGGTAATAATGCAACCTAAAATATCTAAAGATAATAAAAAGTAAAGGACCCATTCGCCTTTTGCTTGAATCGTAAGATAACTTCAGCACAGAATCGATAAAAAAAAGTGGCCTACAAAAATATTGGGCCGTTTGGCCTGTATAACCTTGTTATTTTGAAAATTTGGTGGATTTGGTCACGCCAAACGGCTCAACGTTTTTGAAGGCCACATTTCGATCACGTTATCTTACCATTCAAGTGGAAAGAAAATGGGTATTTACGAGATTTTAGAAACTGATTAAATAGACAAAGTTTGCCGAACTTTAGAGAGAACTACTATATCAAAAGTAATGCTGCCCTACTACATAGGGTTGCTTCGTACACAGCATACTTATCAATCCACACGGACATTAATTTTATATTTTATTATATATATATATATATATTATTATTATATAATTAAATTATTTTATATATATATATATATATATATATATATATATATATATAAATTATTATATAATAAAATTATTATATATATATATATATATATATATATATGTGACATATCTTGCCTTTCTTTTTTTTTTTGTTATTCCCTTTCGTAACAATACACTTACAAGTTATCAACAATAAAACCATATTAAACAACATACATAGCGCAATAAACATTTTCGCAAGACAATATATATATATATATATTTTTTTTTTTTTTCCTCTTTTTCTCTTTAAATTCTCAAACGCCAGGAACTCATTACAACATCGCACACATATATAACAGCAATTCCTCGAATGTAGACAAAAACATAAGACGATTGTGGACCAATTTAAAATTTAATAAACAATTAATACCAGACGTCATCAATCAGTATATAGATGATAGTGGATGAAACCCAAGGAGTCCAAAATAATATTTTCGGCCAATACGGCGATCTCCCCAACATCAACAACTAGTTCCTCGAAGAAGCTCCTTGTTCTTTCCAGGATCGTTCCACGAGACCCAAACCAGAGGCCTCTCACGGTGAACTCTCTCTCTCCGAAGGTCTCGCGGAATTTCTCTTTTAGGAAAGGGGTGCATTCAACCCAAACGACCCAATTCCGAGAACTTTCGTAAATGTTATATCTGTAGGTTACGATGAGATGAAGCTATTTACGAAGTTTCAGCCGGATGTTAATAATTTAATAAAAAGGTGTCTGTAGCACGGACTAATAGATGTTGACATATGGTCCAACCAAATTTTAGTTATTGGTTAATAAACTCTAAACGATTCATCTTCTAAAAGCTTTGTGTATAAAAATGTTATTTGTTGAACAGCAGTGAACATAATTAACAGAGGCAATAGTGCAGGATTCGAAGTGAGTCCAAAATAATGGACTCCGCCAAACTCTGTATCTCATTTTATTTAACACCTTTTCCGAAAAAGTTAGCAGTTGAAAGAGGAATTGCCACTCTAATTTCAACCTAAAGACCTCTCCATCTTTTTCTTTTAGGAACGGAATGCAATTCTATGTATTTCCTCCACATCAATTTGCATTTTGAGGTCTTGCTACTCATCATTCGTCTCATATCTAATTGTAGTACCAACTATAACCTTTCCTTTTGCGATAATCATGACGCATATGAAAGAATCAAATTAAAAAAAATATATATCATAAATTTTTCTCTCAAAGGCATTATGGTTTCTGGAATATTGTTTTATTATTATTATTATTTTTTGCAAGCCACCTAGAATCATTTAAACATAATTAATGTGATATGGTTCCCATGGGAACAGTATTATAAAAATTAATATATTGCTATTTATGATGTGATATTTCTTATACAAGAAATATTTTGATATATAGGAATGATCCTTTTCCTCCTTACGATTCAATCAGACGCTGGGTATTCATTTATTATGTAACGAAATTTCATTTTTCTCTAGGTATCAAATATATATATTCTTTTTTGAGTATGGAAAAGATTTCCAGTCACTTTCACTGAGAATTGTTTTTGATTTTTTAGTTTTCAATTTATAGATTTTATGTCTTTGAGATGTAATTAACTGATTACAAATATTGAATGCACTCCTCAATATGTATATCATCTTCTACTTTCTATAATATAAGATTATATAAGACTTGTATAATGTTTACAATATTATTATTGTATTCATTTGAACATATTAAAGTACATATTTAAATCATTTGTAGTAAATATTTATGAATATTTTTTTCATTACTATAATAGTTTAAAAGACAAAAGTAATTTATCGTTCATTTCAAATTTCATTTAGTTATTTCATAGTTTATTGATTGTAGCAACTATTTTACAGTATTGTGACATTATTGCTTATATTGTTTCTTTAATATATCCTTATTGCTATGTAAATACTTCTGTTGTTACTTATATTTTAGTTATTCTTTTATTGTAATATGCATTTTGGCCAGATGTAGTATTAATTTTTATGACCAATACAGTTATTCTTAAGAGACTTTATCCAAGAATAAAGTTAATTCTTCTATTCTATTCTATATATTTATAGTTCCCACTTTATTTAAATTTGAATATATTGAAGAATCAAGCAGCACAGCTGTCATCTCTTAGCAGAAAAGAGAACCAAAGAACAGACATGGAGGGTTCCTGATGGAATTTTGTCCACTTGAGACTGTAGACTTAGCTGGGCAACCATCATTTCATCTGTACAGCCTTTTTCACAAGAGAGATGGAGTAGATAGTCAAGAGGCATGAGCACTACAGGGAAGAGAGGAGATGAGAGAAAACAAAACCGAAGCAGCAAGTTTCTAGTTAATTAATTTTCATACACCACCCATCTAATCCACTTCAATTAAAATAGTTTGTAATATGCAGACAAAATTTATCAATATACCAACTGTTGAGGCCAGGGGTATTTCAAATTCGAAGTACAAATCTTTCCCCGGTGCGTTTCCTTAATGGTGGGGAAAATTCTAGTAAAATTAAATTTTGTTGGGAATGAGGAAAAAAAAAGAGTAAACAAAAATGAGACTTGTAAAACATAAAAAAAATTGCATGCACAAGAAAATATTAAAAAATAGAAATATTTCAGTAAATTAAAAAAATTGAAAATAAATAATCCCCTTTTGAATGTTTACAGTTTATTGAGATAAAAAAAGATCTAATTATGTACAAAAGTTAAAATAAATATTGGTGTAAAATTGCGAGAGAAATAAAACATAAATACAATACGCAGAGAAAATGAAAACAAATTAACCATTAATAGCAAAATATAAATAAAATCAACTTCTAAAATCATGGTAAACCAAGAGAAAAAAAAAATGTCTGTGGTAACGGTGAGAGAATCTGAACGAAAATATACCAAATTGGAGGCTATATTTCCAAAGAGGTTAGTTACCTGAAGTTCAGCTGTCACAGCAGTCGATGGTGGAGGGATCGATATGCATATCGATCCTGATCGATGACTCGCGATGATACAGCTGGGACCTTCAAAATGGCGCAGGTGAGGTGAAAATGAGCCTGAAACTGGTGAAAATGGTGGGGGTAGACTTCGGCTCCATACGAAGGGTAGCTTCAGACTGGCTTCGGCCGTATTTTGATGTCTTAATCCCTAAGACAGGGTAATACTGCCGGGCTGTTGTATATACAACGCGATAACACATCGCAAAATAAACCTACATCTATAAACAATGAACAATTCTGAGACAGTTGTCCCTCAGTTTTTACCAAAATAAAAAAAGTAAACCTTCCTCATTAACACTTAAAAGGGTGAGTGGTGAGAAATAAATAACACAAAAAAATAAACATAAAAATGCGGCGTTAACACTAACATTTCACTGTAATAGATCCAGCTTTAAGAACTCAAATTATAATACAAATAAAATATAGCAATCTGTCCAACCCCATAGTTTAATTATAATGATAGTACCCTTCTATACTGTCCACTGCATTAAAATTAGAATAAGTGCTCTACAGCATGATTATAAGGTATTCCTGACAGCCGTGGAAGGGATGGGATTCATAAATTTTATTTTATCTTTTTTATTTCTTAATGATATTTACAACTTTATTAAAGAAATACATGATTTTATGACGTGAAAACACTTGCTGAGAAACTAACCAATGGTAGCACTCTAAGAATATATCTACATTAGGAGATCACGGAGGATTAGTAGCCATCTTCTTTTCAGACGCATCGGAGGGTTATTAGGAATTGAAGAGGAAGCAATGTTAGAAACGAGAGAGTTGGGATGATCTGAAGTTTATTATGGAATGATAGGTATCTGGATTGGACAAGATCTGAAACATAAGAACCATTATGGATGGTTTTATTTGTAACAAAGTAGGGAACATTGAGGATTTTACGAAGGATTTTGGATTGTAAGTATTGGATACGAGAGGAATTCGATGGTATAGTGGAGTCCCATAGCTCAACTCCCTAAGTCCAAATAGGTCTTATTATAGTCAAGTATATGAGTCTTTTGTAATTAATTGAAAGTTTAGAGTGTTTGTCTAGTAAGTACCGGAGTATTCGGAAACTTCGAGCAGTTTCTTGTCGTTTCAGTCTGGTACGGCTATTTTTTCATATTATGTCCTTTCCTTTCAACCTCTCCTGTAGATCTGTAGAAGTATATTCACATTTGCATTTATTTTATAATGCACTACAACAATTTTTAGCATCTGGTTAATTTAGTTTGGGGTCCGGTTACTAAGCTTACTCTGTTTATATTTTACTGTAATTACTGTTTATATTTTTTTTGTCTAAATATTATGTAACTTCAATGTTATGTAATTACATAGAAATTTTACTATTGGTTATATTCACAGTAAACATATGTATTGGGTTGGCAAATAAGTACTTTTGGTTTTTCAGAGAGAAATAAAACTCAATATTTCTCCCTGAAAAACCGAAAGTACTTATTTTCCGAATAAATACATATATTTAATGTGAATATACGAAATAGTTAAATTTCTATGTATAATATTGTTGTTTAATTATTAATAAAATATAAACTCTCATAGGATTATTTATTTCTACCCATTTTGGTAACTTAATGAAGGGAGGCTCTCCATTTTACAGAGCAGCGATAGGAGGACAGGTTAATATTCTTTGCAAATAATTTGACGTTCATCATGAAAATTTTATAATTTATTAATTCAAATATTCAATAAAGTAACACAGGTTTTTCAGGAATACATAAAAACCAAATCTGAAGTAGTTTCGATTTTTTAAATATATTTATTATACACATTTGAGGCTACCTTCAAAGTATGGCAAACATAGTATAGTATTACATGTAATATTGTTGAAACTAGTACTCTCACATATATTTGCTCATTTGTGTTGTAGATCTCTCTTAAGAAAACATTTGTGTTGTGGATCAATCTTAAGGCAACATTCGTGTGGTGGATCAGTCTTAAGACAACATTTGTATGGTGGATCAGTTTTAAGACAACATTTGTGTGGTGGATTAGTCTTAAGACAAAATTCGTGTGGTGGATCAGTCTTAAGATAAAATTCGTGTGGTGGATCAGTCTTAAGACAACATTCGTGTGATGGATCAGCCTTAAGGCAACATTTTGCTGATGCAATCCAATGTTTCTGGTTTTAATATCCTTTTAACATTCTATTGGTTCGGTTATTCTGGAAGAAAATAATAACTTCATCAGTTTCATATTTAAGTTAAAAGTCTTTTTATATTGCTTAGAAATGTTAATATTAATTTATTCAAATTGATATTTGGATATTCTCAGAGTAAAGAAAGAGAAAATAAAATTTAGATGCCATTCATTCAAAATATTTTATACCATATACTTTTCTACACTTTATTTAAATATTATTTTTTTATAAATTGTTATTTTAAATATTAAAAATGTGTTTGTTCAAGTATAAAGTCGACATCATTAAATCGAATTGAAATAAAGTATTGGAATTTTCGATCGGATTTATGTATCCAAAAACTGATTAAGTGCTTCAAGAATACAGAAATCCTTTTTTTGTTAAAAATCACCTCACTATAACTAATATCCAAGCGACAGATTATTGTAATACTCAATGAATAAATAAAAAAATCTAGTGCGCGCAACACACAACTTTCGCTTACCGCTCTACTTTGAATATAAATTACTTTCTGGCAATGCTGGGCTATTATACAATTTCTTGAAGAGCATTTTAAACTGAGCTAAAGCTTAAAGCTTAAAGAAAACAACTCATTAACACCATTATAATTACAAAATGTCTATTTAATATATCGACGGTAGGCAATAAAAATTTAGTCACTCCATCAGCTTTTCTAAACTTTCTTTGCTTTTATAAACCACAGAATGACTTACTCCAATTTCCACATTTTTGAGTAATGTCATTTTAGTGATATTTTTAGTTAAAAAAAGTAATCTATACAGACAGGGAGTAAGTTGATTCCGGAAGTGGTGATTGCAGTGTTGAAATATAGAACGGTGAATAAAGGTATAAATTTAGGTACTTATTTCTAATGAAAGATACTTAATTAAATATTTGTAGAAAAAAAGGTTTTTTTAGTCTCAACAATTAAAAAAGTATAATTCAAATTTATCCAAATTTTCGGCTCTTCCGGGATAAAATCTGTTTTACGATATATTTTAAATTTCCATCTCAAAAATATATGAATTATCCTTTCAGTTGATTAATGACCGCCTGTGGAATTTATTTAATTATTTCAAACCTGGGCTGTTGTTTACCTGGGGGAGAGTTACGACCCACTATTGAATGCAACCTTTTGTATGGAGCGATAAAACACTTAAGAACCCCAAAGGACCGACACCGGGGCAAAGAAACACTTAAGGACAGATACCAGTCTTAACGTGGGAAGGTTCAAATAGGATTGAAGGGAACATTAACACCTTCGAGAAAGAGGGAACGGAGGAAGGTATACCTGCCAGGGTACGGCCTGGGGGCGTGGTCATCCCTTATGCTAGGAAAATTCAGCCAATCAGAGGAAACTACAAAAAGAGAGGGGGATGAAAGAAACTTTGGAAAGAGGGGACTTGGGGAAGATAGGGTGAGAGGGCAAGATCGCCTAGGAGCCAGGAGAAGAGAGACAGCTCCGGCGAAACCCCTCACCATGAAGAAACCGTCAAGTAGAAACATTCATTTAAGTATACATCTGTAACTTGTGTTTGCAATCATTAATCATTAATAGAATCAATAGATCATTATTAACTTCAAGCATTACTATCCATAGCATTCTCCTCTAATATGATTCTCTACTACTCATTGTATATATATGTTTTGGTTTGGTGTAAGTATATAAATATATTAGTTATTATAGCACCTTAGTAATTTTACAATCTACCTTGCATGCCACCAATTAGTTATAGAAACAAATAGTAAATTTTTAAACATGATACCTTTCGAAAAGATATTCAATTAAAATTATATGGTTCTAGCATATTACAGTAGGGGGTCTGTAGTATTGCTATGTTCCTGGCCTCGCGTTTCTACGGCGAGTATGGGGTTCCAGAAACCGCATTTATTTGTATTTAATACTTACATTGGTATTTATATCGGTCCCAGAAGGGAACCGATCTACCGAAAAATATATTAATTCTGTATTTAAATGTCGATACCACAGACCCCTACTGTAGTATCCTAGATTGAACCATATAATTTTTATTGGATTTCTTTTCCAAAGGTATCATGTTTTTAAATTTACTAGCTGTTTCTGTTACTAATGCATGCAAGGTAGAATGGTAAAAGTACTAAGATGGTTTACTAACTATTATATTTACAAATTTAAATAACCAAAACATATATACAATAATGAACAAACCTATATACATAATAATAGTTGAGAATCATACTAGAGGAGAATGCTTGATTAGAGTTACATGTGTTCTATTGATTTTATTAATTAATGATTTATGGTTGCCAATACAAATTTACATCTGTATAACTAAATGAAGGTTATTACCTAGCTGGTGAGGGGTGTTGTCGTTATCTCTAGCTGTTCTGGCTACCTCTCTGGAAGCTCCGTCGATCTGGTCCTCAAGTCTTCATCTTGCTCCCTCCGGCTGTCTTCTAGCCTGAGTCCCAGCTCTCAGTCTTCAGTCCCAATTCTCTATTTCCCACCTTTCTTCATCCCCCTCTCTTTTGTTAGACTTTTCTGATTGGCTGGATATTCCTAGCCTAAGGGATGGCCACGCCCTCTCCCCCAGGTCAAGGTAAAGCAGCAGGTACAGATTTACGTATTTCTGGTAGAAGGTGTGAAAGGTCTTTCGAGATCCTGTTTAAACACTCAGTTGTTTTTATTACCACTTACAAAAGGTTGTCCTCGTGGGTCGTTACCCTCCCTAAGGTACCCAACCGCCAGATGTGAGCACTTCTGATGTTTATTTATCTATACCTTTAAACTAATTATTTCACCAGCGGTCTTTACAATACATAGCATTATCTAACCTTTTACATACAGAATACATATAATCTTCAGTTGATCGGTTCCCTTCTGGAACCGCTATAAATAGTAAATACATTAAATAGAAATAAATGCGGTTCCCGGAACCCCATTCTCGCCGTAGAAACGCGAAGGCCAGGTACATAGCAATTCATAGGATTGTCTCAAGCCCCGTGAGTCGCTATTATTTGGCGCCCTATAGTATTATATTTAGTTCTAGTCTCTCTCGAATCGAGTCCGTTTTGTTATGTTCAATGAAGCTTTCCGTAGAGAAAATTTTCTCATTTACAAACTTCCAAATTTTTCACGATCTCAATGCAGTCACTTTCTACATATTTCCTATTATATACAGTTTAGAAAAAGTAAAAAGAAAAACTTACATGCGTTTTCCGTAAGAATAATGGGTACAGCATTTAGCTTTACAGCAATACGCTTTTGCGTAGCAACATTTACCTCGACACTTAACCTTGTCCCCTTCTAAAAAAAAAATGAAAAAATTGCTGGAACGTCTAATAACATTGTTAATAATTTGAAAAATTAAATTAATGACATACCTTTGGGATAGCGGCCTTGAACATTTGTTAGAATACTTAAATTTTGGTAAACTTCATCATCATCAACGGCACGAGCGTTAGCCGAGGAATAGAGCGAGGTGAAGATCCCGCACAGCAACACTCCAGCTAGCATCCTAACGCTTCTCCGATCATTTTCTGAGTGGTTTATTATAAATCATCTTATCAGTAAGGATTAGAGTTAATCTGGTCAGTTGTGATGCAATAATAATTAGTTGGCAAATCTAAAGGATCCGTGAAGGATATCATATATTAGCACTAATCCAAAGGTTTTCCTCAATTTTAAATTTGAATCCAAACAAGCCTATTTGATACATTTTATAAATATATGACCGAGTGGAACTTTTTAATTTCTTTTGTTAATTTGATTTGTTATTGGGTATTAATACAACCTAATACATCGAAGGACAATAAAAAGCAAAGGACCCATTCGCCTTTTGCTTGAATCGTAAGATAACTTCAGCACAGAATCGATAAAAAAAAGTGGCCTACAAACATATTGGGCCGTTTGGCCTATATAACCTTGTTATTTTGACATTTGGTGGATTTAGTCACGCCAAACGGCTCAACGTTTTTGAAGGCCACATTTTGATCACGTTATCTTACCATTCAAGTGGAAAGAAAATGGGTATTTACTAGTTTTTAGAAACTAATTAAATATACAAAGTTTGCCGACTTTTAGAGAGAAATACTTTATCAAAAGTAATAAAGTAGTAAAGTAAGTAACATAGGGTTGCTTCGTACACAGCATACTTATCAATCCACACGGACATTAATTTTATATTTTATTATTTATATATTATTATTATTATTGTATGTATATATATATATATATATATATATATATATATATATATATATATATATATATATATATATATATATATACAATAATATTATTATTATATATATATATATAAATTATTATATATACAATAATATTATTATATATATATATATATATATAAATTATTATATATACCCTGTTAGGAAAGGGAATAAGAAAAAAAGGAAGAAAGGAAAGATATATATTATATGACATATCTTTCCCTTCTTCCTTTTTTTCTTATTCGCTTTCCTAACAATACACTTACAAGTTATCAACAATAAAACCATATTAAACAATATACATAGCATACTAAACATTTTCTCAAGACAAAAAATATAATATATATATATATTGTCCTCTTTTTCTCTTTAAATTCTTAAACGCCAGGAACTCATTACAACATCGCACACATATATAACACAGCAATTTCTCGAATGTAGACAAAAAGATAAGACGATTGTGGACCAATTTAAAATTTAATAAACAATTAATACCAGACGTCCCCAATCAGTATATAGATGATAGTGGATGATCCCCAGGGAGTCCAAAATAATATTTTCGGCCAATACCACGAGCTCCCCAACATCAACAACTAGTTCCTCGAAGAAGCTTCTTGTTCTTTCCGGGATAGTTCCGCGAGACCAGAACCAGAGGCCTCTCACAGTGAACTCTCTCTCTCCGAAGGTCTCAGGATGCATTCAACCCAAACGACCCAATTCCGAGAACTTTCGTAAATGTTATATCTGTAGGTTACGATGAGATGAAGCTATTTACGAAGTTTCAGCCGGATGTTAATAATTTAATAAAAAGGTGTCTGTAGCACGGACTAATAGATGATGCCATATGGTCGAACCAAATTGTAGTTATTGGTTAATAAACTCTAAACGATTCATCTTTTAAAAGCTTTGTGTATAAAAATGTTATTTGTTGAACAGCAGTGAACATAATTAACAGAGGCGATATTGCAGGATTCGCAGTGAGTCCAAAATAATGGACTCCGCCAAACTCTGTATCTCATTTTTGTCAACACCTTTTCCGAAAAAGCTAGCAGTTAAAAGAGGAATTGCCACTCTAATTTCAAACCAAAGCCCTCATAATGAAAACTTTCCCTCTATATTTTTCTTTTTGGAACGGAATGCAATTTTATGTATTTCCTCCATATCAATTTGCATTTTTAGGTCTTGCTACTCATCGTTCGTCTCATATCTAATTGTAGGACCAATTATAACCTTTCCTTTTGCGAAAAAGGCCAAGATGCCTATGAATCTTGCTGAGTCTTTCTTATCCAGAGCAATCACTATATGTTTTTTTTTTTTTTTATCATGATGCATCTGATACAACTGAATGTAAGTCTAAAAAAATATATATGATAAATTTCTCACTCAAAGGCATTATGGTTTCTGGAATATTGTTTTATTATTATTATTATTATTTGCAAGCCACCTAGAATCACTTAAACATAATTAATGTGATATGGTACTCAGGGGAACAATATAATAACAATTAAAATTTTGCTAATAATGATGTAATATTTCTTATACAAGAAATATTATTATATATATAGAAATGATCCATTTCTTCCTTATAATTCAATCAGACGCTGGATAGGCATTTATTATGTAACAAAATTTCATTTTTCTCTTCGTTTCAAATATATATATATATATATATATATATATATATATATATATATATATATATATTCTTGTTAGAGTATGGAAAAGATTTCCAGTCATTTTCACTGAGAATTGTTTTTTATATGCATGTATTTGTTTTTTTTTCTTTTTCTGCTCGTAATCTATTGTTGTCTACTTTTTCACAATATCTTCAAAAGTTTTTACTGAAACGTCATAAGGAACATAAATAAATCATTTACTTACTCTAGTTATTTTCTTTTATTCTTATTTTTATTTTTTATTATATTGTAGCACTAAAATTGGTTACCTATAAAACTTATTTAGCGTTTCTTTCTTGTAACCCTTGTACCCACCTGCTTTCCTTAATATGCCCTCCAAAACTATGTATATGCTCATTTTATTACTTAGACTGGAGTTACTCTTTATTATAATAGGCCATCTGGCCAGATTTATTGCGAATTGGTTTAAACAATATTGTTATTCTTAAGAGACCTCGTCCCAGTATAAACATGATTTTTATTTTTTTTTTAAAAATGTTTGAAAACAAATCTCAGGTCAAAGATTCTGATCGTTTCTTCACAAAACCCTCGATTTTTCCAGTTCTTGGGTTAAAATATTAGGAAAAATGAGATTAAATGTTTTGAATAAAAATAATATTATTTTATTTAAGTTTTTTTACTATATAACGTTTCTTGTGAAAACTAATGTTTCATATGAAATGACCCAATAGCAAAAATACAGCTTATTTTAATTTGTTAACATATTTGTTTTAAATATGAACAAAGTTATAAATTAACTTTCCTTTTCTTTTTCGATTATAATATTCAAGACAATAATAATCGATTCTCCCATCTTATAATGCGTTATATTATTTTGTTTTCCTATTATTTTATCAGTTATTCCATACTAAATCGATTATACTAATTATTCGTACGGGGCTATTTAAAACTGGGTTCTATTTTTTTAAAAAATCATAAATTGTTTTAGATTTTTTTTTATCATCCACCTACACACGTTCTTTCTCAATAAGTTTTAAGTCCATATTAATTAAGTTGATGATTATCATAAATTACTTGAGATTCACCTTTCAAGTATCAAATGGTTACAATTGCATATAATTAGCTTTCAACAAGATTTGAATAAATTACGATTTATCTCGAAAATGTTATAAAGTCTTTCTTCTCATTCGTAGAAGGAAAGGCAGGACTCTAGGAGATCTCAGCGCCCCTCACTTAGCCGCACTACTGGTATTAAGAACCAGTAGAGGCTGAGGAGAGATGTTAAATAACACATACATTGCTTGATTGGAGGAACTGACCATTGCCAGAACTGCAATATATACTTATTCACAAAAAATATCTGTGCCATCGCCGCTTCAACTTTCAAGGAAGATTTTAAGGATGAGTGGAGCTAGATAAGGATTTTGATGAATAGGGATTGGGATGATTTGTAAGGTTTTGATGAAATTTTTCTGGGATAATGTCTAGGCCAAATATGATATCTAGGTCATGGTGTAGGGTTTTGTTGGATACATAGAATGGAAGATCAACTATTATACGAAGGACTTTAGCTTGAAAGGATTAGATGCGTTTCATGTTTAAAAATTTCGCTCTCCATCACAGAAGAGAAAGATAATTTCTATAATATCGCTTCCATTTAAACCAATTGTAATGTGCTTTGTATTTGTTTCATGATTCAACATAAATGTTGTTTTAAAAAAAACATGGGAAACAGTTCGAACTTATAAAAGGAAAATTGACTTTTTCGCCACTTTTTGAAATTTGACAGATATATGTCTTTGATATGAAGCCACTCATATATTTTTTTAAAAACCCTAACTTTTTTAAGATCTCATGTTGTAGCTGTTGTGCTTTCTGTAATTGGAATTCTTCACTTCTTTATGAAATTAACTTCTTCACTTCTTTAATTCTTACCTCATTCATAAAAATCCATCGCTCCTCAGAGGCAGAAAAAGGATCTATTTCTTACAGTGTAAATATTTCAATGTATGTAATTGATCATTTAAAGTCTATGGACTAAGGAAGAACAAGAGGAACAGTCCAGGAGGATGAGAGAGTATTGGAGTAAAAGAAATGTTGAGGGTGTGAAGAGGAAACAGAAGTGATATTCGAGTGGTCCTTGCTGGCCGATTCGTGTAAAAAAAATATATGTTTTATATATATATATATATATATATATATATATATATATATATATATATATATATATATATATATATATATATATATAACAATGTTGGGCCCCTTTGCCGTAAATGATACTTTATGAAGAGAGTTCACCGTGAGAGCCCTCTGGTTTGTGTTTGTCGGAACGATCCCAAAAAGAACGAAAAGCTTCTTGGAAGAACTAGATATTGATGTTGGGAAGCTTGCGATATTGGCCGAGAATATTATTCTGGGCTTTCGGAGGATCATACATTGCCACTTGCATAGTAATTGACTGTGAATATAGGATGTCTTGTGTCATTGATCTATTTATTTATTCAATTTTAATTTTATGAAAATGAAAAAATAATTTTATTCTGGGACTACTGTCCCCTAAGAATAATAACAGAGTTACAAATTTATGTATCTTAGTCTGACAATAAAAATACCAACTAATTTATTGTTAATTGTTATTTCAATTGGGCAATGGATTGAAATTAAACATTGTATAGATGCAAGTAATTTTACATGTTAGGGGAAGTTTGAATGTGGAGTAGGTGTTGGAACAGGACTTGTTTGAAGGAATTTGTGGATGAGGATTGACGCATAGGAAGTGAGTTCCATAAAGAAGCAGCACGAATGACGAAGGATTTGCTGAAGGAGGAAGTTTTATGGGAGGGAATATATAAGTCTATAGGTTTAGACCTAGTATTGAGAGAGTGGATAGAGAAGAGCAGAGTAAGAAGTTCCAGGATGTAGGGAGGGTTTTTAGTTCTGGAGACTTGGAAAAGGAAACGCCAAGAAGGAATTGTCGTCGGGAAGTAGGATAAAGCCACTTCAACTTGGTGTACCAGAGTGAAACATGTGAACGCCTGGGGATCCCGAAAATTTATCTTATGAAGCAATTCACGAGTCTTTTTAATCTCATTTCTAGCCTGGCAGATAGCCCTCCATACACCAAGCAGCCGTAGTCGAAGTGGGGGAATACAAGGGAGGTTTTTACAAGCTGTCTGGTTTTTAGAGGAACTCAATCACGGAATCTTAGGAGTTGTTTAAGGGCAGTTATGGATTTTCGGGTAATCTGGGAGATATGATTATCCCAGGAGAGGTTCTGGTCAAAGGTTATTCCTAGGTTTTTGACTGTAGGAAAAAAATGGATGGGATGGTTATTGAGGTAAAGTAGAGGAAAGTAAGGAAGGGAACTGATGAGATGTCTGGACCCGATGATAATAGCCTTGGTTTTATCTGCATTCAGCTTTAATTCATTTATTTCTGCCCATCTATTGATGCAGTCGATATCCTCTTGTAGCCTCCGGGCGGCCTCAGGCATCTCAGAAGGTTGGAATGATTGGTATATTGGAATTTTATCTTTTTCTTATCTATTTATCGATATTCACGGAATTGCGTTGTATATGTGTGTGCAATTAATCTTGTATTTCTAGCATACAAACACTTTTTTTTGCAGACAATGTATGTTTTATATATTGGTAATTGTTTAATGTTTTATATTAGTGGTATTGTATATGACCAGTGTTATGAAAAGGGAGAAAAAATAATAATGGAATGATATAATGTGAGAGCTTTGTCGATATGGATTGATCAGTATGCTGTGTATAAAGCGAGCCTATGTAGTATAGAAGCATTACTTTCAATAAAATATTTCTCTCTATCTATTTTTTGTCAGAAAGGTAGGGATATCCGTGGATAAATACAAAGATAATTTAGTAGTTAGTAATTTAAATATTTTTTAATTGTAATTCTTTTTATTTCCTTTTACTCGAGTATTATACAAACCGAATATATGTTTTGTATGCGCATATTGAGAAATAAATTAATTGTTTCAAGAACATTATACTCTATTGTGTAATGGTTCTATAAACATCTTCCAATTCTGGTCCGATGTTGGTTTTTGCGTACCTTAATGTTTGGTTTCAACACAATTTTCAGTAGAAAAATACCTGAAAAAAGTAATAGATTTATCATTGTAATATATAAGGTCAAACAAGTATATCAATTAGAATATTTTCCTCACTAAACATAATAGTTTCTTAATTAATTATATTGTTATGCTAGTCTATGGTTGAAGCCGTTTCTGTTATGTTTTTGTATAGTATCGTCAAGAAAAAAAAATTGATTAAATCTAATTGGACTATAAATGTATTAACATTCACAATCCCTATAATTCCCCCCAATAAAATCCACAATCCTTCAAATTAATCCCAGTTCAAATTATACCAGTCACGTGGTTTATTTTTTTTTTAAATTGAAGTACATTACATTTAAGTAAATTACCGATTTTAATTACATTAAAGTAAAACTTACAGGTCCATTTCAGGTGAGGAATTCCAGCAACAGTACAGTTTTTTACCACAGCAGTAAGAAGATTTTGGGCAGCATTTCTTTCCACACAGTGTTTGTTTATAGTCTGAAATTCAATGGATTTAGCTTCTATCGAATTTGATATTATATATAAAAAATTAAAATATGTAGACTCACATGGGCGTAGGATGATGGTATCATCTTCGATCGCTCGTGAGTTAGCTGAGGAAAGGAAGGAGATGCAGATGGTACACAACAACAATATGGCTATCATTGTTTTGCTTTATCGATAGTTTTCTTCGCAGGTTATTATAAACCCTGTTATCAGTAAGGATCAGTCCAAATCTAGACAGTTATTACGCAATCATAATCAATAGTTGAAAGCGAGCCACGAAGAATATTTCCATTTTAAATATTAACTATCAATCATCACAAGCATTGATGAATGGTGGCGAAACAGGAGGATTAAAATAAATTCTAATAAATCCCATCAAATCACCTTTACACTTCGACGTAAACCTATGTCCCACAGTATCCTATAACAATACCCACTAAACTCTGTTGAACAAATCCGATACCTTAGACTTCACTTGGACAAACGTCTAACTTGGAACCCCCATACCAGACTGAAACGACTAGAAACCGCCCGACGTCTCCGACTACTCCAGCACTTACTAGACAAACGCTCTAAACTGCCAACTATTTACAAAAGACTCATATATATTACTATAATAAGGCCTATTTGGACTTACGGAGTTGAGCTTTGGGGCTCTACTAAGCCATCGAATTCCTCTCGTATCCGATCCTTACAATCCAAAATCCTCAATGCTCCTTACTTTGTCACCAATAAAATAATCCATAATGAACTTAATGTTCCTTAAGTTTCTGATTTGGCCCAATCCAGATACCAATCCTTCCATAATAAACTTCAGAACCATCCGAATACTCTCGTCTCTAACCTTGCTTCCTCGTATATCCCTGATAACCCCCCGAGGCGTCTGAAAAGAAGATAGCCTCGAGATCTGTTATTGTAAATACATTTTGTTTTTAGAGTGCTACCAGTGGGTAGTTTCTCAACAAGTGATTTCTTGTTATTATTTTCTGTTATCAAATTTGCTAAATGTATTTTATTTATTAATACAGTTGTAAATATCATGAATAAAAAAATATATGTATATATTAACTAATTCTTCGCTTTTAAGGTCTATTTGGACTTATGGAATAGAGCTTTGGGCTCCACTAAACCATCGAATCCCTCTTGTATCCAATCCTTACAACAGTAAAATCCTCAATGTTCCTTACTTTATCGCAAATAAAAAAAATCCTAAGTTAATGGACCATGTTTCCGATTTAGTTCAATTCAGATAAATGTCCTTCCATAAGGATATCAATAACAATAAAGGTCTTTTAAAAGAAACAGCTTGTTCTAGAAAGGCATTTAATTGTTTTCAGACAAGTTATATTTCAAGAGTATTTCCTACTAGTGTGATGTAGGAATTATATACTACATACATTTTCTGTGGGAAAAAAAATATTCGAATGCTAGAAAAGAAATTCAATTCCATGAATATAGATAAATAGGTAAGACAAAGATAAAGATTAACATTGAATAAATAAATAGATAAATTACAAAAGGCATCCAACATTCACAGTCAATTACTTCTTCCTTTTGTAACGTTAAGTCCTAGCCATTGAGTGTCACAGAATTAGTTATCTTCCTTTTATTTTTCTATCTTAAAGTTCAAATTTAATATAGAGAAGATAATAAAATACATAATATATATGTGTGTATTTAAATATTTTTATTTTAATATATTGTCCATATCGAATTTATAATTTAAGATAGAAAAACAAATGGAAGATAACTAATTCTGTGATCGGCAACGGTTCGGACATAACCTCACAAAATATCACCTCAATGATCAAATTTAGTTCGGTGTCCATCTCTCTGTCGGTCTGTCTGTAATCAAATCGTTGTGGCCGGCATATCATCTAGTACCGTACAGAGATTGTGTAAGTTAGTGAGTAGATGCTCCCATTTCAATTCTAATCAGTACAAAATTTCGCATACGCAAACGTATTATTTTAGATATGCCAATATTTCAGAAAAATCTCGTTAGATTTAACTCAAAGTTAGATAAAATGTAGGTATTGGTGAAAAAATAATGTAGTGTAAATTTTATTTGAAGTGTTCTCCTTAATACGTGTTTATCTCTAGAACTGCCAGTTCCATTTGGCTCTAATTTGGAGGATTGGTGAACAGATAATTAAGTATGAATGAATTTGATCAAATTCTATCTAATACTACAAAAAAAAAAATACTTCTGATTTCACATCAGAAAATTTATTATTTGACACTCCTATAGTTTGAAAACTGCGATTTCCATTTGACCAAAACTTGGAGAATATTACAGAAATTACCCAGTATCAATTTCATTGAAATCCATTTAATAATTGAAATTAATATAATTAACAATGTAATGGCTGTGAAATGTGGACTGATCATCTGGAATGGGATGTAGGCAGTGTTGCCGTATGTACGAGGATCCTCGTATTTGTACGAGGTTATGACGTAATGTACGAGGTATGAGGATAGACCAGCCTCGTACCTCGTATATAACTATTGCTGACGTATGCAATGCAAGGTTATATTTTTATGAATGAAGTTTAGAATTGTTTTCACTGTATTAATATTTATATTAATATGAAATACTGAACGTCTGTTGCTTTCTAGACAAATTAATTGGAATTATATCTTCTTTAATTAGAGTATGATTATTATTGCATTCATAAAATCATGACTGTAAATATGTTTTTTTTTTTAATTTTCTAGAAAATAAAACTTTTTTTTTTAGATTTTATCCAGTATGAAATAAAATATAAGAAACTATATCCATTATTTCCTTCATAAAACTTTTTTTGTAAATATTTATTTTTTAAAATGTGTTGTAAAGGAAAATTAAAAAGAAATTCTTACCGTCATTTTTATCGTGCATAAAACAAAATACGAGAAAGTATAACCATTATTTCTTTCGTAATTATTATCTCCTTCATAAAACAGCAATCGTGAATATATTCTAAATAAATTAAATTTAAAAATAAAAATTATTACTGTAATTTAAAAAAAAATATTTTCGATTTTTAATCGATTAAAGTAATTAATTGAAAAATGAACTAGTATTCATAATGGAAACATCTTAAATAATGGGAAAAAAAGTATTTTTTTAGTGGTCAACATTTGTTTTGTCCGAGATCTAATTGTAAGCTAAATACTGAAACAATCACAATCTATTCATTTTTTATATCATAATGGATATCTCTGAAAGCATCAATGCCCCAAAATTAATTTTTATTGGCCTTCCAGAACCACTAACGTTGTTTCATAAAAGTAGTTTTTTTGTTTTTAGAAAAAAGAAAAAAAATGAGCCCTCCCCCAAATTAAATCTTGGATCTGATGAAGTTGGAATTTGAAGATCAGAAATTGGATACTGATGAAGAGTACTATAATAAGTTTATTTTGCTATTTCAATTTTTATATAAAGTGCCCAGTAGTTTCTAATAAAAATATATAAGCTTTTTTATTTTTTATTTTATTAAGCGAATTTTACTTCTTGACCCATTAACTTTAAAAAAAAAGGTAATGTAAAAAGGCTTTAAAATATATGAATGGAGGTAAAAATAAAAAGCTCTGACCTAATTTTACTATAAAAAAAAACAATGATACTGAGCTTACAATAGTACGAGTTATGAATGAGCAAGCGTACGAGGATGTACGAGGCTTCAGTACGAGGTTTTGTCACAGAGCGCGCGGCAACACTGGATGTAGGTTAAGTCAATATTTTTATGGGGTTATAAAATTTTATATTTTATTGAAAAAGTTTAATTATAATGTATGGTTTGATAGACTCCAAACGTTACTGGATGATTAGCTAAAGATTAGAATATGCTTTCATACTTATCATGAGATTAATATAATACGGAATCCGGCAATATTATATAAATATAAATTTGTGGCTTTCATAAATGTTATAGTTGGTATTATTTAATATTTAATTGTATAGATTACAGCGTTATAAATATTAAAATTTGTATATATGAGGGTACTTATACAAATAAAAATGTCCAACAATGAAATATAAATAAATATAGAGTCTATAATTTTTACTTTCCCTTAGCTTTATCTGAAAATACTTATTTCTGCTAAGAAGAGGGTGGTAAGTGAAAGTTGTGTGATGTGCACACCGCACCGGTTGGTTTTTTTTTTAAATCACGAATCATCAAATATGCAATCTGTGGAAAGGTTTCGCATTTTCATATTCGCCGAGGAACAAAACTCGTGGAAATCAAACTATTACTTTTTCAGGGATTACTGAATTTCCGAAAACTGTTTGTCCAAGAGATTTTATTCTCATACGAAAAATTCTAGACCATGTAATACAGATATTTTTTAGCCAATTAAAACGGTGAAACGATGAGGAAACAATACGGACTTTACTTGGCAGACATTTTTTTATTATTTTAAAAAAGCCACAAGTCTCAGAAAAATCTGTCTTGGGTTTTTGCTGTGCTTTTTTTCTAGAAAAACAGCATCGATACTAATATGTGAATGCTTGAAAATCTTATGTACTACAGTGCATTTCTTTTCTTAAATTCTTACCAAACAAATCTTAGCAATATGTAACAAATCAATATCATTTTATATATATATATATAACTATTGAGAAATTATTAGTGGTTTTAAAAATTAATTACTCCATTGTCTAATGTCTCTGTAAACATCTTGCAATTCTGGTTCTATGTTTGTTTTTGGGTTCCTTATATTTTTTATTTATTCGCAATCTTCTGCAGGAATAACTCTGAAAAAAAAAATATATCATAGTAATCCCGCTTTGTCAATCATTTCTTATCCATCTTCTAATCACTATAGAATTGTAAATAGTTATTACAGTAAATATGTACATAAATTATTATCGAAAAAGTAAAAAATCTCTACTCTATAGATATTGATAGAGCTCTCAACTCTAAATACAACCCTCTTTACAGAACTGTTTGTAGCTTTAACAGCCCTTAGCCGCAAGAATATTTAACTTATCCTGTAAATATAAACAAACTGAAACTAGTTAGCCAATTAAGAATTTCTGATACGGAAAAGCTGAAACTTTTTCATAAAAATACCACTTTGTTTATAAAATTGGGAGAAAAATGTGGATGGTGTCAAGAACATATCACCCAAAACATGGAACACCTGCTATTGCAATGCCCCAGACTAAGTATTGATAGGGAAAAATACCTAGGAGATTATATTGTCCAAAACAATAAACAATTATCTTTGGAAAATCCTCTAAATATTGATAGTGCGGACAAACTAAATAACATCTATTTCTTTTTGTTAAAAACTATACATAGGTATTTAGAGTAAGGACTATATTATATTATTTTAGGAATAACCATTTAATTATTTATGTGTATATAGCTTTGAGAATAACTATTTAGTGTAGTTCTGTTTATGTAGTATTGGAAATTAAAGGGAGAGGAAGAGAGGGTGAGACGGAAAAGGAAGAAAGGAAAGTCTGATTCGATACATTATTGAATCATTAATTAATTTCCACATATACACTTTTTTATATTGATGTGGGTTTTAGAAATAATTATCTATTTATTTATTTATTCTATTTACTTATATATGCATTGCGAACCGAGAAAGGGTTGGATCTGGGCGGGACAACATCCGTGCTGGGCTATGCTGATGATCTGGTACTGTTAAGCGAAGACGTTGAAACTATAAAACTAAATACGACAACGTTAATGAAAGCCGGTAAAGAACTAGGACTCGAAATAAACGTGGATAAAACAAAATATATGGTTAGCTGCAAAAAGGGCGATACTACTGGTGATATCGATATAGATGGTAATATGTTTGAACAGGTAGATAAATTTAGGTATCTAGGTTCTACGATAACTAGAAAAAACGAAATTGAAGAAGAGATTAAGGTTAGACTGAAGGCGGGGAATGCTTGTTATTTTTCTGTGACAAAACTACTTAGTTCGCGCCTCTTGTCCCGAATCTTAAAAATTAGAATCTATAAAACAATTATCTTGCCTACAGTTCTTTATGGATGCGAAACTTGGCCGCTTACATTAAGGGATGAGCAGCGTCTTAAGGTTTTTGAAAATAAAGTATTGCGTAGAATATTCGGACCGAAGAAGGATGAGTTAACCGGAGAGTTCAGACGGTTACACAACGCCGAATTGCGTGAGATGTATCCGGGTAATATAATTGAGGTAATTTCATCGCGGCGAATCAAATGGGCTTGTAAAGTTGTTGAGCTTAGTAATGAGAGAATTCCTAAAATGTTAATATTTGCTGTGCCGAATGGCAAGCGTCCGAGGGGAAGACCGAAGCGAAGGTGGGAAGATTGCATTAAAGCCGATCTGAAGGGACTGGGTTTGGACGGCGAACGGTGGAGGGAGGTGTGTAACAAGCGATTGGTGGTGTCGGCATCGAACCTTCGGGTTCGCTAAGCCTTATTATTATTATTATTATTACTTATATATGCATATATGTTTTTGTTTATGTATCTCTGAGGGGCTTTACCCCAAATTTTTGTCTTTCTGTATTATTCTAAAGGAACTCGTCCCAGAATAAATAAAGCATTATTATAATTATTATCATTGTTCTCAATCTTGAACTTAAAGTAAATTAGAACCAAGAAATAAGTATATATTGATTAGATTAAAATAAAACTTACATGGGAGGTGGGGATCCGACGTCCGTGCAACAGAACTGCTTATCACGACAGCAAACCGCGTTATCAGCGCAACATTTATCGCCACATGGTATTTGTTTACATTCTGAAATTAAATGGAGTTAGCTTCTATCGAATTTGCTTATATATAGAAAATTAAAATATGAAGACTCACGTTCGTCTGGCTTCAATTGATGAACGATGTCTGAAGTTCGGGGAATGGAATCATCTTCGACCGCTCGTGCCTTAGATGAGGGAAAGAGACAGATGGAAATCGTACACAACGATACTATAGCTATCATTGTTTTGATTTATCGATAGTTTACTTCACAGGTTATTATAAACACTGTTATCAGTAAGGATCATTGTAAATATGTACAGATATGATGCAATAAAAATAAATATTTCAAATGCTAGGCTCCATAAAGATTATTTCCATTTCATATTTTATCCCTCGGATTCAATCATACTAAATCTGGATTAATCTTATTGAACGAAGTTAGTCGACTTTTCTACATATCAACTGTGATAAATATTCAGGACGCAGTCATTATAAAATTTTTATTAGTGCCGACGTTTCAACCCAAACATGTGGGTCATCATTAGGACTAAAAATGTTTAAATGCAACCAGAGATATAATATCATACGACAGATAATGGCTAATAATAATAAAAAAATCTGGTGCGCGAAACACACAACTTTCACTTACCGCTCAACTTTGAATAAAAATTATTTTCCCGGCATGTTGGGCTATTATAAAAATTTTTAATTCCATTTTTAACCGAGCTAAAGCAAAAGCTTACAGATAACAAATCATTAATACCATTCAAACAACAAAAGTACTATTTATTATATCACCGGTTGATTATGGATTGCAGGGCTATTAGTTATTAAACTGTTATTTTGTTTAATAAAATAAAATTAAAAGGTTTTCATTGCCTGCCAGGGATAGGTCAAAAGTTGTCACATTAATTTTAAGTGAATAATGTTGCTATTTCACAAAGGAAAATTTCATCAAATTATTCACAAATTTCATTTTGTAAAAAGTGACATGACGATTTTTCAGAATAAAAGGACGCTGATACCTAATGATTTAAATATAATATCATATCTATAATCACTAAACAACAGTAAATGTATGTAAGGTTATGTATGTAGCATATAACATATGCTTTATACATCCATGAAATGGTTTGATAGTTCACTTCTTCTTTAACACAAATAAAATAAAATAGCTTATTTTGTAGAGATTGCCTTGATTAAGTGAATTTTAAATACTTTTTCAAACTTAGAAATAATCAAAAGTTTACATGTAGTTAGTAAATTTCATTTAATTTCCTTGAAAGCATGTGGTTTACGTTAAATATTATTAGTTTTCAAAAATTATTATTTATAATGTTTTTGCCACTTTTGATAGTTAATTATTCAAAATAAACCATATTAGAGGTACTTAAGTAGAAGACGTATATGAACATTTGGTATTTAAGTCCTGTAAAGTGAAAACAATAGGGATGAAACCTGATTGATATTAAAGACCACTTAATTGTACAATGATACACCGAGTTTAATCAAAACATTTACAGCCATTTTTGAGAAAATTGTAAAGATGTGTTTCACCGTTAATATAAAATGGCACTATTTTAGCCTATTTTGAGGAAAAAGTTGCTGTCACATCCAAGGCATATACCTATCTTAAATACGTAATATCAGTTTCATACGACTTGATAATCAGTTTTTGAGCTAGACTGGTAACATACACACACTGACAAACAGACCATTTTTCTGGACTTGGTTATTTGGACTCAGGTGGGGTATAAAACGTGTATTTCCATTGAAAATTCAGATTCAAAAATTTTCACAATCGTAATACTTACCCTTACTATATATTGCATATAAGAGCGAAGCACTGGGATCTTCTGGAGTCCTGCCTTGGCTTCCACATTGTAATGTAAGTGAAATTAAAAATTGTAATATTTTCTCCTGCTAACCGTGGTTCGAGCACTGAAGGTATTCAAGTACTGAAACTTTGCTAGATAGGTGTAAGGGAGGTTACAGAATTGTGAACCAGAAACAACGCAAATATTGTATACATCTTGAATATTTAGTCAGCAATTTTTATTAATCTACATATAGAAATGTTAACTCTTCTCCGCTCCCCCTCTGATTATGTTTGCCTACATTTTGCTATACAACTGGTAAATCCTTCCCGAACCACTTCACTTATCTACCAAAGTGCCTTCAGTGCTCGAAACGCGGTTAGTAAGAGAAAATATTACAATTTCATAAATGGATTATATACATTATTTTTATTTTGTATAATTTTTTACATATTTCGTTTGTAATACATTATATTGTAATATTAGTTAAGATTCATGTATCATCAATCAATATATTTTTACTTTCACTTATCTATATATGTGTGTCTGTATGTCTGTGTGTGTGTATGATAGCAGTCTAGCTCAAAAACGAAAAGTCGTACCAAACTAATATTACATATTTAAGGTTTTGATCACCTGATAAACGGCAGTGGCTCCGCAACTTACTGTAAATATTCATATATTGCAGTTCTCGCAAAGGCCAGATTCTCCACTCAGGTCCTGAGCGTATGTTGCTCTAGTGCCCTCCATCAGTCTCCACTGGTTTCTAATACCAGTGACGCGGTTAAGAGCGAAGCACTGGGATCTTCTGGAGTCCTGCCTTGGCTTCCACATTGTCATCCAAGCATGAACCCTGGGTGAATGTAACATTGTACATAGGTGAATATCGAATATTGTACATAAGTGTGAATGTGTTTTATTTACTTTAATTTCATTTAGCTTTTATCTATTATTTCATTTTTTGTACACAGCCATATTAATTTACTTATTTTATTTTTCTATATATTTTTTTCTTTATTATTTCTATCTTAGTTATTATCTTATGAACATACTGTGTGAATGATTAATGTAGGCTTAATATTAATGACCTTCAATGTGGTCGAATGTATTAATATTCAATAAAAAAAAATGTATTACTTGAGTATTATTTAAATTACAAAATCATTTTATGGGTAAATATTGAGTAATAAATCCGAATATTATACTCCATTGTTTAATGGTTCTGAAAACCTCTTTCACTTCTGGTTCAATTTTTTTTCCGTTCCTGATACTTTTCATTTCATCGCAATTTCCTGGAGTCCCAATCCTGAAAAACAAAATTATCATTGTAATATTTAAGGTTGAATAAGAAAAGCAATTAGGGTCAGAATATTTTTCTCGCAAAATTTAATAGTTATTTAAGTATCTATATTATATGGTAAAATACAATCCGTTTCTGATATGAAATCATATGTCCTTGAGAAGGAAGAAAGCATGCCTAAGCGATAGAAGTAACCGAAATTTGATAAAATAAAAAAGGACTATTCGTGTATCAAGCTTTACAGTCCACAAAAACTCCTTAAAATTAATAGCAGTGGGCTTTATCCCAGCCACATGGGTTGGAATACAGAACGTTACAAGAAAATGCTCAGCTCAAACATCTTCCAGTTCAAATAAATAAGTAGAAACCTGGGAATGTTGGAAAAGTTTTCATCAAAATCGGCTGACCAGAATAGGTAATCTACAACATCGATTGTATACATTTGTTATACATTAAATAACTCTATGAAGATATTGCTCAAAAACAATATTTGCATTTGCGAGAAATTTTTATTATTATTATTATTTTTTTTTTATAAATATAAATAAAAATAGAAACGGTGAAATACAAAAAAATAGTACGGACTCCGTTAGCACTGCTTAACCTTACTGCGGCCTCTATAAACACTGCCTAGCCTAACTGCGGCCACTACCAGCACTACTTAACCTTACTGCGGCCTCCACCAGCACTACCTAATATTACTGTGGCATCCATTAGCACTGCCTAACCTTACTGCGGCCTTCATTAGCACTGCATAATCTAAATGCGGCCTACATTAGCACTGTCTAATCTTACTGCGGCCACTACCAGCACTACTTAATCTTACTGCGGCCTCTACCAGCACTGCATGATCTTACTACGGCCTCTACCAGCACTACCTAATCTTATTGCGGCCTTCATTAGCAATGCATAATCTAAATGCGGCCTCCATTAGCACTGTCTAATCTTACTTCGGCCTCCTTAAACACTGTCTAACTTTACTGCGGCCTCCATTAGCACTGTCTAATCTTACTTCGGCCTCCTTAAACACTGTCTAACCTTACTGCGGCCTCCACCAGCACTACCTAATATTACTGTGGCATCCATTAGCACTGCATAATCTAAATGCGGCCTACATTAGCACTGTCTAATCTTACTTCGGCCTCCTTAAACACTCTCTAACCTTACTGCGGCCTCTACCAGCAGGACTACCTAATATTACTGCGGCATACATTAGCACTGCCTAACATTACTGCGGTCAAAATCAGCACTGCCTAATCTTACTTCGTCGTCCATTAGCACTGCCTAACCTTACTGCGGTCACCATCAGAGCTGCCTAATCATACTTCGGCCTCCATTAGCACTGCCTAAAATAACTGCGTCATGTAATAACCGTGCCTAACCTTACTTCGGCCTCCATTAGCACTGCTTCATCTTACTTCGGCCTCCATAAACACTGCCTTACGTTACAGCGGCAACTATTAGCACTGCCTAACCTTACTGCAGTCTTCATCAGCACGGCCTAATCTTACTTTGACCTCCATAAATACTGGCTTACCTTACTTCGGCCTCCATTAGCACTGCCTAACCTTAGTGCGGCCTTCACTAGAACTGCCTAACCTTACTGCGGTCACCATCAGAACTGCCTAATCATACTTCGGCCTCCATTAGCACTGCCTAATCTTACTTTGACCTCCATAAATACTGGCTTACCTTACTTCGGCCTTTACTAGAACTGCCTAACCTTACTGCGGTCACCATCAGAACTGCCTAATCATACTTCGGCCTCCATTAGCACTGCCTAATCTTACTTTGACCTCCATAAATACTGGCTTACCTTACTTCGGCCTTCACTAGAACTGCCTAACCTTACTGCGGTCACCATCAGAACTGCCTAATCATACTTCGGCCTCTATTAGCACTGCCTAATCTTACTTTGACCTCCATAAATACTGGCTTACCTTACTTCGGCCTTTACTAGAACTGCCTAACCTTACTGCGGTCACCATCAGAACTGCCTAATCATACTTCGGCCTCCATTAGCACTGCCTAATCTTACTTTGTCCTCCCTAAATACTGGCTTACCTTACTTCGGCCTTTACTAGAACTGCCTAACCTTACTGCGGTCACCATCAGAACTGCCTAATCATACTTCGGCCTCCATTAGCAGTGCCTAAAAAAACTTCGTCATCTAATAACCTTGCCTAACCTTACTTCGGCCTCCATTAGCACTGCTTAATCTTATTCGGCCTCCATAAACACTGCCTTACGTTAAGGCGGCAACTATTAGCACTGCCTAACCTTACTGCGGCTTCCATTAGCACTGCCTAATCTTACTTTGACCTCCATAAATACGGGCTTACCTTACTTCGGCCTTCACTAGAACTGCCTAACCATACTGCGGCCACCATCAGAACTGCCTAATCATACTTCGGCATCCATTAACACTGCCTAAAATAACTGCGTCATCTAATAACCTTGCCTAACCTTACTTCGGCCTCCATTAGCACTGCTTAATCTTATTCGGCCTCCATAAACACTGCCTTACGTTAAAGCGGCAACTATTAGCACTGCCTAACCTTACTGCGGCTTCCATTAGCACTGCCTAATCTTACTTTGACCTCCATAAATACTGGCTTACCTTACTTCGGCCTTCACTAGAACTGCCTAACCTTACTGCGGCCACCATCAGAACTGCCTAATCATACTTCGGCCTCCATTAGCACTGCCTAAAATAACTGCGTCATCTAATAACCTTGCCTAACCATACTTCGGCCTCCTTTAGCACTGCCTAACCTCCCTGCGGCCTCCATCACCGCCATTAATAATTTGATTAAAAGGGATCTGTACCACGGACTAGTCCCGAGTGAATGGCAAAACATGAAAAGTAATTTACTACAATCCATCTCGATGTTTAAGTAAATTAGAATCGATAAATAATTATATTTTGATTAGATTAAAATAAAACTTACATGGGTGGTAAGGATCCGATTTCCATGCAGCAGTATTTTTTATCATGACAGCAAATCGAGTTTTTACTGCAACATTTCTTGCCACATGGTATTTGTTCCGATTCTGAAAATAAATGGAGTTAGCTTCTATCGAATTTGTTTATAAATAGAAAATTAAAATATGAAGACTCACTTTCATCTGGCAATAACACAACGATGTCTGAAGTTCGGGGAATGGCACCATCTTCGATCACTCGTGCGTTAGCCGTGGGGAAGAGAAAGATGGAGATCGTACACAACAATACTATGCCTATCATTGTTTTGATTTATCGATAGTTTACTTTGCAAGTTATTATAAATACTGTTATCAGTAAGGATCATTCTAAATCTGTACAGATTAATAAAAAAAAAATTTCAATGATAGGCTCCATGAAGATTATTTTCTATATTTTATATTATATTTTATTTTATCCCTCGGTTTCACTCATACTAAATCTGGATTGATCTTATTGAAGAAAGTTAGTCGACGTTTCGACATATCAAGAGTGATAAATATTCAGGACGCAGTCATTATGAAGCTGTTATTTTTGCCGATGTTTTAACACAAACATGTGGGTCATCTTCAGGGCTGAAAATTTTTAAATATAATCAGAGATACAATATTATACGATAGATAATAATAAAAAATATAGTGATTGATAATACATAAACCTTAACTAATATTACAATATAAAATATTAAAAATATGTTAAAAGTTATACAAACTAAAAATAATGAATTCGAGTAATTCGAGCACTGAAGGTATTCAAGTACTGACACTTTGGTAGATAAGTGAAGGGGTCGTGGAAAGTTAAAAAAATTATGAACTATAAGAAACAACGCAAATATTGGTGTCTAGTCAGCACACATCTTGAATTCAGTCAGCACATTATTTTTATTCTACAAACAGAAATGTTACCTCCCGCCCTGCCTATGTTTACCTGCCTTTCGCTATCTGAAAAAGCACAACTACGAAATCCTCCCCCGACCCTTTCATTATCTATTAAATATATATATATATATATATATATATATATATATATATATATATATATATATATATATATATATATATATATATATTATAATATATACATATCTAGAAAATATTACAATTTTATAAATTGATCATAAGATTTTTTTATTTATTTTTAGTTTGTATAAATTTTTACATATTTCTTTTGTAATACAATATATAGTAATATTAGTTAAGATTCATGTATCATCAATCACTATATTTTTGCTTTCACTTACCTTTATATGTAACATATAGTAGGGGAAAGTATTGCGATCGTGAAAATTTTCGAACCTGAGTTTTCAACGGAAAGACACGTTTTGAGGTACCCTGAGTCCAAATAACCAAGTCCAGCAAAATGGTATATTTGTCAATGTGTGTATGTTAGCAGTCTAGCTCAAAAACGAAGTCGTATGAAACTGATATTACGTATTCAAGATAAATATATGCCTTAAATGTGACAGCAACTTTTTCCTTAAAATAGGCTAATTGGAAATGCCATTTTATATTAACGGTGAAACACATTTTTACGATTCTCTCAAAAACGGCTCTTAACTATTTTGATTAAACTCGCTGTATAATTGTATAATTAAGTGGTCTTTAATATCAATCAGGTCTCATCCCTATTGTTTTCACTTTACGGGGCTTAAATGTCCAATGTTCGTATACGTGTTCCACTTAATTACCTTTGATATGGTTTATTTTAAATAATTATATCTCTCTCATTATTAAAATTTATGAAAAAATGCTAAATATAACTTTTGAAATAATTTGATGATTGAATAAAGAAGAAAAAAAATAAAAAGGCTTACTCCTTTCTCAATCCGCCTGATTACGAAATATACCTAACAGAACTATCTAAGAATCTTTTGTATTTTCTTCTGTATTTTTGTACCTCTTCTTCTGTATTTTTTCTCATATTCATATTTACTAATTGTATTTATCATTTAATACAGTGGTAAATTATAATAATAATAATAAAAATGTATAGAAGTTGGTATGGAATTCCAAAATGTGATAGCACGTTTGACGAAGTATTTTTTTCAGTAAATATTTCTATGAGAAGGAATAAAAAAATTCGAGGATTGGGATCTCGAGTTGAACGAATGAACTGATCAACAACCAGTAAACAAATCAAGAAGGTAAGAAGGTTTTTTGGTTGTAAAGGTTCGGAAAAGGAATAAATTTAAGAAATATATCGAAAAACTGGATACAGCAATTTCAACTCAGCATAGCAACTGGAGACGTGGGAGCGCCTGGGGACTCTTAAGGATAAATCTGATGAAACGATTCATTAGTCTGTTTAATCCGATCTCAAGCCCACCAGACAGTCCACCGTATATAAGGCAGCCATAATCGAAGTGAGGGAAAATGAGGGAGGAAACTAGGAACTACATTGGCAAAAATTAAAATATAATAAAAGTTCGGTTATAAGTACTAATACAGCAATTATCTCTATATTATTTTTATACGTTAAAATCAAAATTATAGTAATACAATTGTAATAATTATATGACAATAGAAATTTGAATAACGTTCATGTTGAACCAGTGAACATCTTGGATAAGTCTAATAAATCGAACTAATTTGTTTTGTTTTTGTTATCTTCACCTGCATGATCAGCTGGTTTTTTTGTGTGTTTGTTTGTTTGGATATTTAATGTTTTTTATATGTCCTTTATTTTTTTGATCAGCTGTTTGATTAAAACCTTTCTCGGCTGTGTTATCTCTCCTTCCTTTCAGTACGCGATTGCATTTCATGAAATTATGTGATCTTTTGTTTGGTTTTCTTTTCTGTCTTGATGTTTCCTTAAAATATGAAAAGTTTGGCGGATATTTTATTCTTTACCTGCATTTTGGACACATTAGGCTATGTGGTTGCAATTTTTTTAAATTATAACCTACCATTAAAAACAATGCCTTTTTTATCACTTGAACGCTCATTTTAAAAGTTGTTGAATAAGAAAATTTGTAATCTTATTGGACCTTATATTAAATGTCTGTGTAAGTGGTTTGATAAGATTTTTTGGGATTGATTCTAATCCTTCACGCCTGACAGACATCTTTAAGGCTTAAAATTTTGCGATTTGATGTATGGGTTATTATATTTAATTTATTTTTTAGTGATAACTCATGTGTGGACATAAGCTTATTTAGCGAGCTTAGAAATCTTTAGAAAGTTATCTTTATAAGTCATTCAAATAATATTACTGTCATTTAAGAAAAAATGTTTGCCATTTAAGATTAGTTGTTGAATTTGATTTTGATGCGGGTTAGATTTCCGCGAGTTTTTACCATCAGTTAATGGAGAAATGAAGTAGAGTTCTACATTTGTGAACTGCGTATTAGACTACTTGTGAAAAAAAGCACGGACATAAAATCTCAATTCAGTTAATATGTACATATAGAGCATGCATATGTATGTTTCGATTCTATGTACATATTCAATTTTATTGTACGGCGTTAATGAAACCATATTTTCCATAAAAAATACAACAAAATAAATTAAGGAGGAATATAAAAATAAGGCTACGTCTTACCCTTCACAAATAACTAGTTCAAAAAGCTGCGGAATATTACGGCGTACTACTTTGAAGTTCGCAAGCAAATAGATACCAAAACGAATTATTCGGTCTTCAAAAGAAACAATCGCAACCACAAATAAATAATATTTTTACAATCTTTGAGCAAACCTAAATTCATAAATATATAGAGTGTCACAGTTCTTAACGGCCAAACTCTATAGGGCGATTCTGGACAAAATGTCCAACAAAAAAGTTAATTATAATTGGTAAATGGTTGACTGTCGTTGATAATGAAGAGAAGAATAGTTGGGGTGATCAGTCAAAAAAGAAGGCAAAAATAAATGATAATATTTATTTTTACATATGCCGACGTTTCGACCTGAAGTTCAGGCCTTCATCAGGGCTAAGAAAATAACCAGATAACAAGGATCCCTTACACCGCAGACCGAGCGTGATTGGGTACTGATCCGCCTGTCACTTGAGGTCATCCTTCTAATAATTTACCTTCATCCAATCAGTCATCTTAACCCTCTATAATGAACACGCACTGTAGAGGCCTTCTGGTATCTGCATACTCCTGCACATATGCCTCGACAAGATTATTTTTGTGTTTTTCTCAAGGTTGTCACTTTTTTTATTGAATTAGAAGAAATTGCTCAAAAACTGTTCTAAATGATGTAATTTTAAGTAATGAACGCAAAGCAAATTTTGTCTAATAAACGAAGGTGTCGTTAGGATTCATTATCTGGAACAGAAGATAACTAATTCTGATGTTAGCAACGTTTCGGACATATTCTCATACAAGGAAGAAGAAAACAAGTGGGAAATACACTTGGAATAAAACGCCTAAAAACAATAAAAAATACCTTCCTAGGACAAGCTGTTTTTTTAAAAAGACATTTATTGTTATTGTTTTGACAAATCGTAGTAATTTCATTATTATTAAAAATGGAAAAAAAAAGAAAAGAAAAGAAAAATGGTGAAAGTAGATTATATTTTCTCGTCAATAATTAAAATAATGGATAAGACAGCTGATAGGCAAGTTTTACTTTTAAATTCCCGCTAAAAAATCAATAGAATGTGATAAGAAATTACATATAGGAACTCATTATAAAAAAAAAAAAAGGAAGACACAATACTTCTATTAAAAAATTGAAAGGCCACAAGTCACATAAAATATGTTTTTTGGGTTTTAGCTGTATTTAATTCTTAGAAAAACAGCATCGATACTAATATTTGAATGCTTCAAAATATTATTTAGTACAGCGTATTTCCTTTCTTGCCAAAAAATCTTAGTAATATCAGTTTCAATGTTGTATTTTTATTTATTACTTGAGTATTATACAAATCACAATATCATTTTATCTAGAACTATTCAGTAATAAATTAGCGGTTTTAAGAATATTGTACTGCTTTGTGTAATGGTTCTGTAAACATCTTCCAATTCTGGTTTGATTTTTTTTTCCGTTCCTTATATTATTTATTTAATCGCATTTTTTTGTAATTTGCACAATCCTGAAAAATAAAATTATCATTGTAATATTTAAGGTTAAATAATAATAGCAATTAGGGTCAGAATATTTACCTCGCCAAATTTAATAGGTACTTAATTATCTATATTCTATGGTAAAATATAATCTCTTTCCGATATGTAGTCATATACTGTTGAGAAGAAATAAAGCAAGCCTAGGCGATAGAAATAAACGAAATTTTATATAATCAAATAGGACTATCCGTGT